GGGCAGGCCCCGCTGCCCCAGCCCCTTCCGCTCCCCTCCAGTCTGCGCTCCGCTCTGCTCTCCCAGTCCCGGCCCTGGAAGGCGCCGGGCTTGGCTTTTTCCCCTTCGTGGCACAGCCAGGAACTAGCAGCCGATGCCACAGCCATCCCTGCCGGACCTGCTTCCCTCCTGCGACCCGGAGGGAGGCCGCGGCTGGACCCCACCCGGGCCCAGGGCTGACTGCGGAGCAGGGAGCGGAGCCTGGCCCGGGGGCCTGGGAAAGAGAGGGGATCAGCGGAGGGCTCGCTGGTCCAAGGATGGAGGGGATGGAGGAGCCAGAGGCCAGACCTGCCAGTGGGGGCCTTCAGTGAGTACGGAGGAGGCAAGGAGCCGGCCCGCTGCGGGGTGGCAGGGTGGCGGGGTGGCGGGGCGGCAGAGCCGCGGAGCTGTAAGGGTTGGGGGAGGCCTGCCCTCCATGTCCATCTTCATTTTAGCCTTTCTGAGTTTGAGCTAATGTAGCACTTGGGCCACAGAATCACTCCGAGCAGCACCTTCTGTCTCCCCAGGCCGCCTGCAGTGCCCCATTGGAAAGTCTCCCTAGATGGATTAGCTCTGGAATACAGGTCTAGAGTTTCCCCGTCAGAAAGTTTCTTTTTATTTAACCAAAACCACTCCCATTATATTCTAATCCCCTGTTCTCTGGATTGAACCTTAGAAGGGAGAAACCCGTGACTAGGCTACAAGGAGAAAGTTGGTAAATCCTAGTTTAACTGTAGATGATCTCGGCCTTCTAAAGATGGTCCCTAAACTACACTGGCTGAAAGCTGATGTGACATTTTGCACCGTGTGTACTTTGCTTTATGAAATATGTACATGCCTGAGACATGTATAAATTAAATTGTAATAAACAAGTAGAGGGACTTGCCAATTAAGGTAATTCTATGGTGACTCTTCAGTCAACATATGAAGTAAATAATTAACTCCTAATTTGTAATATATGTAAATATGGATTTTTGTACATGCAGTTTATTTCAAGTGGGACATATCTAGATGTATGATATCGAGGGAACATTTTCTCAGAGAGCAGGGTAAATATTAAGACCTTGTGGCCTGTATGTGTGCACAGAACGGCTTGGTGAATAAAATCCCGTGCTCACTTGCATTCCCTACAAAGAGACTGACAGCAAACTATGCCACCAAGGAGCTGTGTCATCCTGGCAAGTCACCGAAGCCCTCTAGTCTGGATTATTCTCATTACAAAATAAGGGGAGTGAGGTTAAGTGACTACGGAGTGCTTTGGAAGAGCCATGGCTTTGAAACAAAAAGCTTTGCATTCCAAACCGGCTTCCCTTCAGCACCTCTGTGACATAATCTTGCCGTACCTCAGGTTCACAGTCTGAAAATGAGGATAATAATACTGTGTGGCTAAAGGATGTGAGGATTATTTGAGAGGGTGTGTTTGAAAGCACTTGCAGGCCTGCCTGGAGTAGATGCTGGTAGGAGCTAGTGACTGATCATGGCCACCCTTTGAGCACAGCACCATGCTGTAATCCTGTGGTTTGGAGGGTGGG